AAAAAATTAAAATATATTAAAAAACATTGATATTTCACCCCAAAAATACCTCTCACTCATCTTTCATTAATTTATTTATTTATTTCGTCAACCAACGTAGACTAGTGCATATTAGAATACAGTTTTGTTTTCTTAAATTTATTTATTTATTTCGTCAACTTTGGACAAAAGGTTAAAAGTATAATTTTTTCTTTAATAAAAAATAAGCAGTGTCAGCTTTCCTATTTTTTATGAGTTATAATGCCTTATGGAGTAAAAATATTGTTTTAGTTTATGCCGAGACATTGTAAAGTTAATGGTTTCGCAGTATTGATTGTAAGAGGCCATCATGCGGTTTAATGGCCCATATTTTGCATAATTTGTGCGATGATGTTTTATGGCAAATAAATTTCGATTTCGGAATTGCCGAGTGGGTGCATGGAAATTTAATTTTGATAAAAGTTCTGTGGAGTCAATGCGTTGCGAAACGATATCGTTTACAAATGAAACCATTGCATATTCACGACGCTCTTTTAATGTTTGTATGTTTATAAGCATTCAGCGTGCTTCATATGATGGAAGAGGAAATGATGTCCAACCTAATTTACGAAGAACGTATAATAGAAATTGTTTTTGTACGGATTCTAATCTTTCTTCGTGCGTGATTGAAAAAGGAGACCATACAATGCTCTAATATTCCAGTATTGACCTCACATAGGCGATATATAGTGTTTTAATTGTGTATGGGTCCTGAAAGTTATAGCAAAAGCGCTTGATAAAGCCTGGTCATATCTCAAAAACTATTTGTCCAAATAATTTGCCCTTGGAAACACATCAAGTAGAAGATTTTTCCAAAGTATGGTAAAAATTTGAGCCCAAAATATTAAGAAATAAAACATCCCGCCCATGATGGAAATAGGCCATTTTTTGACAATTTCGATACCTGCCGGTAATCAGCCTGTTTACTGTAGTTACTTTAACAAAAAAAAATGTGGGTACACCTATAAGAATCTACATTAAAAAAAAAACCTTCAAATTAATGTTCCAAGATCACGAATAGCTTATTTGGTTGTGGAGTAATCTTTTCTGAAAGATGAAATTAAAAAAAAATCTTGAAAATCCAGGGTTGTAGCCGAGAGGGATCTAGGCACTTTAGAGCAAAATAAAAAAGGCCTTTGTTCAGAATGCCAAAATAAGCGTTTTGGCCTAGTTTGGCTCAAATCGGTGACATAGACCACAGGTGGTGTACCCACTTGAGCTGGAATGACCCATATTAGAACAGTTAGAACCAGCAATTGCTTCTAAGTTTTATGACTATTTCGTGGAGAGCGTTTCACTGATCAATCAATCTATTGAACTGGTCAATGTACCGGACTAAATAAAACAGCCGATTAATAGGAACTATAGATTTGATGGTTTTCACCCAATTACATTAGATGAACTTAAAAATATTTGCTTTTCTTTAGGAAAAACGGCTGGAGTAGATAATGTTAGTGCTAGAGTTATTCAAGAGCTGGACCTCAATAATCAATCATTGCAATCTGGGCTCGTGCCGCGAATTTGGAAAGAATCTTTAGTTCCTTTCCAAAAAAACTGACTGGGACGATTAAAGCCGAAGAGTTGCATACATTAGAGAAAATTTTGAAACTTGTTGTAAAAGGCCAACTGTTAGAATATTTAAATAGTAACTGTTTATTGATACCGGAACAATTGGGATACCAGGAAGGTCATTCTTGTGCAACCACGTTAAACTTAGTATTAGCTAAATGCTTTTGGTGCATTGAAAGTTTCAAAGCTGCATCTAAAATCTCTTGTACTTGGACGTGGAGTTCAAAACATAATTCAGTGGTTGAATTATTTTACAGAGATCTTTGTCTCAGTGTTAAATTATTTACTTTATAAACTAATTTTTTAATAAAATATGAACAACAGTTTTTAAAAGTTTTCGACCTCGAAATTTTTCAAAGGAAATCGTGAAAATCTGGAAAGCAAGGAAAATGTAAGTAAGTAAACATTAACTCTTCAAAATTATTGGCGCCCTCAAAGCTATGAAGCACCCCCTTTTTTCCATATTGTGGGGTGTTTGGCACTTTTACAGCCTTACACAGGTAGTTCATGTGTCACGTAGTGCGATAGATCTGAACTAATATGGGCACTATCCGAAAGAACACGGTCACCTGAATAACTTTGCTGAAGACAGTAACCTTCTATATGGCAATGATCTCGAGATTAAGTTCAAGTGCATACTAGCGCCCACGTAGTGAGCAAATTCCAAACTACTGTCCACCAACCATAAGGCTTCCACTAAACAACTTTGCCCAAGATAGAAACCTTGTATTTGTTCAGGATCATGAGATATTCCATGTTGGCATCAATTATGCCAAATCTCTTATGCTACACACTTAGAAATACCTAATCTTACACGTGACGGAATCCATCTTTGACATAAAGGATGAGACGTAAACAAAAATGTCATGTAAATTTAAGTGCTCCGAGACTGCAAAATTCGAAAGTACGTTTAATTGAGCTGAATTTCACGTCTATTATGACTCAATTTTATGTCAAAATTGACGCTCGTATATGTCAGTCACAGAGCACCTAAATTTAAATCAATTTTTTTTTCTAAGTGTGTACGTGGAGTCTACACACATAGAAAAATTCATGTAAATTGAGGTGCTCTGAGAGTGACATATACGAGCGTCAATTTTGACATAAAGTTGAGTCATAACAGACGCGAAATTAAGCTTAATAAAACGTACTTTTCGTCGAGCAACGAACTTTTCAGTCTCGGAGCAATTAATATTACATAACATGTTTGTTTAGGTCTCATCCTTTATGTCAAAGATGGATTCCGTCACGTGTAAGATTAGGTACTTATAAGTGTGCATGTTCACCAGTTTTTCAGCACAACATTTTCCCAGTTTTTCAGCCACGTCATTGTTTATTTTTTGTATGATCACATTTATTAAACTCCTCTGCAACACATTTATGCAATTTAGTTGAGAAAATATGATGAATTGTTTTTATTATTAGAGTATTTTGCATAAGAGCGTCTCCTGTCAAATTTACTCTACACACTTAGAAATTTCTAATCTTACACGTGACGGAATCCATCTTTGACATAAAGGATGAGACGTAAACAATCATGTCATGAAAAATTAAGTGCTCCGAGACTGAAAAGTTCGAAAGTACGTTCGATTGAGCTGCATTTTGCGTCTATTATGACTCAATTTTATGTCAAAGTTGACGCTCGTATATGTCAGCCTCAGACAGGCATGGGAAATCATTTACATTCATTTCATGCATTCATTAACATTCATTTGCCTCTAACTTTTTTCATAAACAGCATTCCATAAAACGATGTACACAGCTTTTGTAGGTTTTGTTTTTAGCTACAACTTTTGTCCATAACTCAAACCTGTATCTCTTATGCAACACGAACTAGAGTGGGCAGAACTTGTTACTGTTTTTCAGAGAATGTAAAATACTTTCACTGAAAAACAGTAGTGGCTTCTGTTCGCTCTGGTTCGTCATGCATAAGAGATACGGATTTGAGTTTTTAACAAAAGTTGTAGTTAATAACAAAGCCTACAAAACTTCGATACATTGTTTTGCGGAATTCTGTTGTTGAAAAAAGTTAAGGACAAATGAATGTAAATGAATGCACGAAATGAATTCAAATGATTTTCGCATGCCTGGCCTCAGAGCACCTAAATTAACATCAATTTTTCTAAGTGTTTAGTGGATATGTCCCATTTTTGTTCGCAACGGTCACATTATTTTGAAAAAAAGAGTCAAGAGTTAAAATCCTCTACACTTCTCCTGAAAACTGATTTCGCATTCCCATCAAAATTCTCAAGACAATTCTAATACATTTTCAAAATTCAGAAAATGTATTAGGGGAATTTACCTATTCTCGGCAACCTAAGCAGTGACCATCTTTCTATAGCCCTTTTCTCTAAGGAACGCACACATATGCAGTATTGGTTTGTTTACAATCTTTTGCTGCCAGCTGCTCTAACAATTTCAGTTGAAAGAATGGTCAAAAACTGTTTTCAAACGCTTTTACAAAGCTCCAATCTTCTCTAGTGAGAGCGACTATTATGGGCACCATCTTTTTATTCGGCAACCTTTCTATTTGAGCTGCGTGTTAAACAGCTGTGCTTTCATCGGCAACTCGAAATCAGCAGCATTTTGTAGTGCCTGTGTTTCATGTGAATAAAACCCTGCTAGATTGCTTTTTCTAAGTGGTAAAAATGTAATCAAATTGAAGCTGAAAGCCTAAAGAATCGTTTGAATGCATTAAGTGAAGTGTTTTCGTAAGAAAATCCAGTGAAATCAGTGTTTCAATTTGAGTTGCCGTCATGCCGAAGCCATCATTTCCCCTATGTTTTTCGATTGAGGAGTAGGGGGTGTTTTCCTGTTTTGAAGAACTCCCGCAACTCCCAGAATGCGTTGTAATTTGGCACAGTTGTTGTATACCTCAATACAGAGCAGTGGGGCGCAGCTAACCCACCCCTTGTTAATTTGACCCAACCTAATGTACATGTAATCCATTAACAATTTGAGTTGATTTCATGAGTATTACCTTGGAATTAATTTTAGGCGATGTGATTGGGAGTGCGTAAAAATGCATTAGAACCTCAAGCGTGAGTTTTGGTTTGTAGATTTGCACGCAAGCTTGTGCTATCAGGGGGACTCAATGAATAAGATTTGGGAATGATTTTCTGAACACTTCACTCAGTACGAGGTCATAAACCGTTGGTATTTGCAACAACCTAACATTTTTAAATCGCTGTTGTCGATAATGACTTGGGAATGTTTCAGAAGGCTTTCAAAACAGATCTCCAACCGTATAAAAATGTGAATTCAACTGACGATTCAATCCAGAGTAAGTCCTATTTAGTCGTGAGTGTGGATAATAGTCGGTGTATTATCCCAAAGAACATCCCACATCATGACATGTAATGCATATTTCAAATAATCATAAAAAAACTCAACCTTTCTCTTTCACTCCACAGCTGGAACCGGGTGACCAAATATTAGCTGTAAACGGCGAGGACGTCAAGGACGCACCCCGCGACCATGTGATACAATTAGTTAGAAATTGCGAAAATTCCGTTACGCTGCTGGTCTGCCAGCCGCAGCTGTACAATGCGGTCGGCCGGAAGTCAACCCTGCTGTCGGCCGGCAAGAAGGCCAAGCTGAAATCACGCCCCACCCGGGTACGGTTCGCCGAGAGTGTGTGCGTTAATGGGGCGCCATTATTTCCGGTAAGTTAGTGCCGTTGTGAATACCACTTTTATTACATTTGCGTTTCATTCCCGAGAAGGGGTAGGGGGAGGTGGGAATTAGTCGGAATCCAAAACCGAGGGATCAGTGATTTAGAGCGTGATGTAACCTGCCCCATGGGGCCCTTAACCGATGGAGGTGGCATTCCGAATCGTTCGCACACGCAATCATGTTGGCTGCTAATTTATCGTGTATCCTGTGGGGGGTGGTAGAGAGAAGGCCTAATTTCTTCGCAAAGAAGTGTAAATAAGTAGGTGCCTGCGTAAATGAAGCTGGCGTGGCATTTTGATTATACTCGTTTAAATCAGTGTTAATGACTGTTTATACTGGTTGATTCCATCCGGGAGTGGGTGCAAATCACCGACAGAATCCAGGTAATTTGTCATCTGGAACCGATTTCACATTGAGCTGAGCTGTAATTCACTTAGGATTAACGAAAAAATCTACGACAACCTGAACAAACAAAACATCAGATTACAATTAACGCTAGCTCATCAATCTCACCGTTAACAACCACGGGAACGAGAAGGAACGTCACCCTTCGGATCAGGTGGGTTTGCTGACCGGACGGAAAGTCGCAAACGTCACTGGAAATAATTAGCTCAAATAGCCATAAAAACTCCCATTCCCCCAATCCTCACTCCCAGTCCCAAACATTCACCAACTAATTTATTGCCTGTGCCGTAGAAAGACGCAAAAAAATCCAGGTTTACCTTAGCTTATCGTCTACTCCTCGGTGCGGTGGCGACTTGTTAGAACCGTACAAACGATAAACATTGCTTTTAGCTTTCCGACCTCAAAGTAGTAATTATGTCCCCACGCAGCGCTGGCGGGCTGAACCGGTCGATGGCCTGATGGCAAAAGCATACGTGGCTAAATGCAAACACACACACAAACACACGTGTGCGTGTAGAGCAATTTCGATACCATGTTATCCTTCGGACTAGTCGAATCCTTCCACCCCATTCCAGGAAAACCACCACCATCATCAGCATCCTCTACGGCATCTCCTCTGCCATCTCCGAACGTAATCGTTCATCTGCTCGATGGGAGATCCATTTAGTTGATTGTAGGTTAACTAATGTACGGGTTCCCGTGATTTCGCCTCCTCATGTTGGTCGACGAGCAGAGTCTTATGCGAAAGGACACATTCAGTCGGGTAGGGAGAGACCTTTGCTCTAATGAGTGGGAAATCAGGATAAAAGGTTTTTCATTATACGTACGGAAAGACTCCGCATTTGTTTGTTCTCGTTTCCTTCTAGTGGTGTGTTGGAGTTGGAGATAAATTCGTTCGAAGATGATAAATTTGTACAAATGTAGAATTGATTCTAGAACCTTAACGTTTTGGGAGATTTTGGGAAGAATAATGTTTAAATTACTCAATTTCCGTGTAGATAAAATCCGGAAAATTTTTAATGCAAAATGGGGCAGGCTTCAAAAACGCTCAATTAACAGCTGAGCAAGTGCTCAAAGATAATTAAGCAAAGTTCCACGGTGGGACAACATTTCACTTATCAACGCTTAATATGGTTGTGGATTTAAAACCAACCCCCCCCCCCCCCTCTTTAGGAACTTCTTTTGACGATCGAAGAACAAAACCAAACATGTAAAGGTGCTGCCACACGGAGGCTATTTCTAGTATATAAAGGGTGATACGGTCAAAATTTGGTCAATATCAACTTGACGTATTTCTTTCAATTTTGCATTTAAAAAACCTGAACACCCCTCATTTTGAAGGTGTGTGTGTGTGTAGAATGTTGCTACTATTTTGATTTTGGAATTCACTCTTCAGTTGTCAAAATGCCGTCCAAGCAAGAAGAGCAGCGTATCAAAATTTTGCTCGCGCATCGCGAAAATCCGAGCTACTCGCACGCAAAGTTGGCAAAATCGCTAAAAGTTGCCAAATTAACCGTTACAAATGTAATTAAAGTGTTTGGGGAACGTTTGTCGACAGCCAGGAAGTCTGGATCGGGGGGAAATCGAAAACCGGAAGCCGCTGAGACGACAAAGAGAGTTGCCGGTAGTTTCAAGCGAAACCCTAACCTCTCTCTCCGAGATGCCGCAAATAAGCTGGGTGTATCGTCTACAACCGTGCATCGAGCCAAAAAACGAGCCGGACTATCGACTTACAAGAAGGTAGTGACTCCAAATCGCGATGATAAACAAAATACGACGGCCAAAGCGCGATCCCGGAGGCTGTACACGACGATGCTGACGAAGTTTGACTGCGTGGTAATGGACGACGAAACCTACGTCAAAGCCGACTACAAGCAGCTTCCGGGACAGGAGTTTTATACGGCAAAAGGAAGGGGAAAGGTAGCAGATGTTTTCAAGCACATGAAACTGTCAAAGTTCGCAAAGAAATATCTGTGGCTTGAAAAGCAGCATTTTCATAGCTTCCGGGACTGTCAACCAAGAAATTTACGTGAAAGAGTGTTTGAATAAACGTCTGCTGCCTTTCCTGAAGAAACACGGTTGTTCCGTACTGTTTTGGCCGGATTTGGCATCTTGCCATTACGGTAAAAAGGCCATGGAGTGGTACGCCGCCAACAACGTGCAGGTGGTTCCCAAGGACAAGAACCCTCCCAACACGCCAGAGCTCCGCCCAATTGAGAAATACTGGGCTATTGTCAAGCGGAACCTAAAGAAGACCAAAAAAACTGCTAAGGGCGAGCAGCAGTTCAAGGCAAACTGGCTTTCTGAGGCGAAGAAGGTGGACAAGGTGGCTGTACAAAATCTGATGGCAGGGGTCAAGCGTAAGGCCCGGCAATTCGGATTTGGAAAAGCGGAAGCCTAACTGAATATTTTTCCTGAATTTTATACTAATTGAACTTGAAAAAGAAATTTAATTTGATTTTTTAAATAAACGATTTCACCGATTTACACGCGTTTTCCCTTGACCAAATTTTGACCGTATCACCCTTTAGCGAGCTATGTGATAGAAAACTATATTACAGCCCATAGGAACACCTAAACTATGACGTGATAGCTCATAGTTATGACTTGCAAGTTATAGTTTAGAGCTATGACATAGACCCGAATTCATTGTCGTCTGTACACTCTAGCGATAGTTTCTATATCATAGTTGCAAGCTATAAACTAATTGATTGATTGATTGATTTATCTTTATTAGGCTATAAACTATTCCATCAAACCGGAATAGTTCATAGTTTATTGGTCATAGTTTTTTTGACAGCAGTCTGTGCGCGGTGCTTTTGTATGTTTTAGAAACCACTCATAGACATCTTATCAAAATAAATTTGGAGTTGTGTTCGGAATATGGACTCTGGAGACTAGGGGATGGCCCACCGGAAGATCCGGAAAAGTGCTCAATTCATGAAACTGATCGTAGAGCTCCACAGTTTTTTAGAAACCACTCATAGACGCATTATCACTATACATTCGGAGTTGTGACCAGAAAATGTATACTGGGGACCAAGGGATGATCCACTAAAAGCTCCGGAACATCCGTAAAAGTGGTCAATTCATGAAACTGATCCTAGAGCTCCGTGTTTTTTTAGAAACCACTCATAGACATCTTATCAAAATGAATTTGGAGTTTTGACCAGTCAAGGGATGCTGGAGACCACGGGATGGACCACTTATATATCCGAAAAATTAGTAAAAGTGACCAATTCATGAAACTGGTCGTAGAGCTCCACGGTTTTTCAGAAATCACTCATAAACGTCTTATCACAATCAAATCGGAATGTTGACCATAAAATTTATAATGGGGACCACGGGATGGTCCACTAAAAGATCTGGTACATCCGTAAAACTGGTTAATTCATAAAACTGATCCTAGAGCTCCGCGGTTTTTTGTAACCACTCATAAATTAATATGAATAATAACTCAATAAGACGGTATTTTTAAATGGCTTATTGATTCAATTTTGATGTGATGAATTAAAATTATAAACATTAAAGATAGTCCCTCGTTAACTTGTAGCTCCAAAAAATGATCTCCAAGAAGTCAAGAGAAAGAATTCCAAGGAATAATATTCAAAAATTCCATTAAAAGTGCCTAGAAGTTATTAAACATTAAAATACCACCTAGAAATCATCCATGATAATAAATTGAAAAATAATGTCCATGAGCAGTTCTAAAAACCATCGAGTGCTGAGATCAATTTTCTTGAACAATCCACCTTAACGGATGCTCCGGATATTCCGGAGGACCATCCAATGGACCCTGGGGTCCATTTTCCAATCACAACTCCGAGTTCATTCTGAAGAGACGTCTATTATCTTCCAGAGGAGCATTCATGGTCTCCAGGGTTTATTTTCCGATCATAACTCCGAATTCATAATTATAAGACGTCTATGAGAGTTTTCGAACAATACGGAGTGCTTGGAATTCACCAATTTTGTCGACCACCCTAATTTCCCTAACATAAAAATATTGGCCAAAAAATACGAAGAAACTTTCCGCAAGACACTCTGTACCTAAAAGTGATGGTTTGGTCGCAAATATTTTTGTCTTCCAAAATACGACTTTGGAACCTTTGTGCACTGGTCCCCAGGGTAAAAGTTCTGGTCATAACTTCAAATTGATTCTGATAAGATGCCAATGAGTGATTTTGAAAAAAAAGCGAACCTAATTGTGAACTATCTCGTGGTCGCAAGGGTTCATTTTCCGGTCACAACTCCCATTTTATTCTAATGAGTCCCTTGGTCACCAGTGTCTATATTCTGGTCACAACTATGAATTAATTCTGATAAGACGTCTATGAGTGGTTTTGAAAAATACGCGGAGCTTTAGGATTAGTTTCATGAATTGACCACTTTTACGGATGATCCGGATCTTCCGGTGGACCATCCTGTAGTCCCCAGGGTCCATATTCTTAACACAACTCTTAATTCATTCTGATGAGATGTATATGAGTGGCTTCTAAAAACCGCGAAACTCTAGGATCAGTTTCATGAATTGACCACTTTTATTGATATTCCGGATCTGCCACAGGACCAGACTTGTGTCCTA